AAGGGGCAGATTGTGACCAATATCAATGGTTTTATTCAAATTTTTACATTGCCAATAAGTTGTGCTAATGTTACCTGGGCTAGGGAACTGCATTTCAATAGTGTGCACACAGCCTTTTCCATTTCAGGATTAGACTGATCATATCTACCTTTGCTCAGAAGTTGAGTGAATATTTCTGTTGCTGGGATATGAGATCCTCATTTCCTGTACGGGCATCCTGCCCCATAGCATTTTCTACCTCCAGAGACTGGAATCATTTGCTCAGCGATTTTTGATTTACTTCATTAACTTCCAGAAATCTCAGGAGAAGCCCAAGACAAAACCCTGGAACACCATCTCACCAAACAGAACAGAGTCTCTGGGTACAATGGGAGGTAGTGCAAGTGTCTTCTGTACTCCTACTAAGCTCTATGCAGGGGTGGGTGGCAAAACATTTGTGCTTCAGGAAAATTCAGAATGAGAACAGAAATGCAATGCAAAGTCACCAACAACAAGCCAAGCCCACCTTTTTGTCCTTGTTACAAACTAAACCCCCACTGATGGCATCCAGGGGGTATTGCTTATATCACGGAGCCATCTGTTCTTAAGAGGAGAGTAAGCCATCAGAACTTCAGATTTCAGATCTGATAGTTGGAAAAGTAGATACAGAATATGTGTCAAAATGCACTGGCATCCAAAAGGAAGCAATTAAGATAGTTTTAATTTTTTATACATTATTAAATTCTTCCGATCTGAAATGTTTCAGTCTTGATTTTTGAAAAAAAATACTAGATAATAATTTAATGTTCTTAACTTTTAAATTACTTTATCTGTGAACCTAAACTATTTTTAATTGTAGAAATGTATGTTGTTTCTCTTGCTTCCCCTTTGTTCTTTCTGTATTATTTAATCTATAAATATTATGACTGTTCATCCTCAATTTAGCAGACCTATTCCAAATATTGTATCCTGTTGCTATTGTGTCAGACCCATGTGTTCCAATTTTAAGGTCCAGAAATACCTACCAGTGTCTGATAAGCACAATATTTTGGAAAGAGGAGTCCCTTGTCCTGCCCAAGCCTCCAAGATTCTATTACACATAACTGTCAGCCACAATGGAAACTCCATAATTCATTTTCCCTCTTTGCCTATATTTACCCTCACCTCAATCCACAGAGGATTTCAGGCAACTTACAAAAATATATACATMACAAATGTATAAAATAGTTGAAGGAATCAGGGCAAAAGCAAAGAACGATAGGGCACAAGCCACAAGTAAGGTCAGAATGCAGACATGGGGCCCTATGGAGTTGCAAGAAGTGAGCCCAGTGTGACTTGAAGCTGCATAGTGGCCAAATCAATGGCAGAAAGACAGTCTGGTGAGTTGGAAAGCCAACTGTTCAAGAGCAGCTCAGTGGGATGTCAAGTCCTGAAAGTCATCCCCCACGGTGGTGCTTCCTGGGGAAGCTGGATCAGCCAGGGGGACCTTAACAGCATCTGCATTAATTTTTTTTTCCAGTTTCCTGGCCTTTATCAAGGCAACGCCTAAGCCCTCCCAAGTAGGAAATGGATCATGTTCATTGTTAAAAAAAATAATTSTTGGGGGGAAAAAACTAATAGCTGGGAAGGGAAACTTGGAAACATCACCCAGTGATTCATAGGGCTGAAAACACTTTTCCTCTTTACTTGCTGCTTAACAACGTCCTTCCATGATTTCTTTTCTCCTTTGCCTGTAGCATGCTCCAAAACTCTCCCTTCACATAGAGGAAGACTTAACCACCCTACAAACCTACTCTTTGAAAGTTGTGTAAAAGTTCCAAGCATTCAATAAGGCTTCATATTAATCAGGGCCCACAGTGCTGTAAAAACATGTTTCGTTCTAACATACAACCTACTGATGTCTTTAAAAAAAAATGTGGATACTCTGGGATTGCTTTTACTCAAAACTTTCTATAGTATATACATCTTCCTAAAATAATTTGCCCTTAGTAAAATCTTTTTGGGGGGCAGGGGTAGATTGTGGAATAAAAACAGGCAACAGAGAGTAATAATGAATATTACATGCTCTCATAAAGAATGTCTTCAAAGGAGAGGAGGATTGCCAGCATTACTGAGTAATGATCTTTGAACACAGCATTAAAGTTATAGCATGAAGGAAGGGAGATAAAATATTTAATGACATCTTAATATTCCTAGATCTTGCAAAAAGCCAAGAACTGGTCACAGTTTATCAGTGGCTGTACATTTTAATGCCAGTAGACAACAATTTTTTCCAATCAGAGTAATAGACTTACCAAGATCACAGGGTGGTAAAAAGGGAAGAAATAAAGTAGGCTATAAACTGCTTGGAAATCCTGTCTTTTCCAATTGACTTTTAATATGGATGTGGAAACTGGGCTTGACAATCAATTGGCTCACTTGGCTAACAGCTTGGCTGGAGCCTCAATAAATATTGAGGATGTTTCTATGAAATAATCTTTGACTAACCACACTCAGGATGAGTCCTCTAAAACCCCACTCACCTCTTGGGACACAAATGTGGTCAGAAAATTATTTTTGCATCTGGTATGTCATTACTCTCAAATCTTCCAGTCCTTCCAAGATGGGTCATTTCATGGAGAACTATACAGAGTCATCTCTAAGTACCCATAGGGTATTGGTTCCAGGACCCTGTATCCCCCACAGACATCAAATTCCACAGATGCTCAAGTTCCGAAAGTAAAATGGTGCACATAACGTAGGCACATCCCCCTATATACATTAAATCAGCTCTAGATTGCTTGGTCCTAATACAATATAATGCCATGAGAGGAGTTGCTATGTTATATTGTTTAGGTAATGATGACAAGAAAAAAAAAGAAGTCCATACATGTCCAGTACAGATGCCATCATCGTGGGACTAATTACATCTTCAATCCACGGTGGGTTGACTCCACAAACATGGAACCTGCAGGTGGAAAGGTAGATAAGGCAAGGAACCTTCTCTGTCACAAGGAGAAAGCCAGGTATGAGGGCAGAGAATGTGAAAACAGAAACTGTGGAAAGATATTGTACTGAAAAGCCATCTGGCCTAGGTTCTCACTGCATGTTCCCTTCCTCCTCCACTCTACCTCTCCCTTCCAAGAAGCAAGGTCCTGACTGATTTCTTGCCACAGAAATGTGAGACAGTAGAAGCTACTCAAAGTCAATGGCCCTTTTTTCCTTTCGTAAAAGACCAGGAGTCTGAGACTCGAGGTGTTGGCAAATCGGTTCCTTCTGAGGCCTCTCCCTTTGACTTGCCCCTGGATGTCTGTGTGGTCCTCTCTGGGAAAGCACAGGTCTAGTCTCTTTGTTTTCTAATATTTTCTTCTATGGACATCGGTCATATTGGATGAGCCCTTCCCATGACCTCATTTTAACTTAATTTTCTTTTTAAAGGCCCTATCTCCAAATACGGTCACATTCTGAGGTGTTGGGGGTGAGGACTTCAACAAGTAAACCTGGGGGGCACAATACAGCACAGAAAAGTGTATACAGGGAAGAGGCATGGAAATCCTGTGGGCAGTCCAGACCCACAATGGTACCAGGGAGCAACTAGGGAGGTGATAAGACATAGAAGGAGTTGCTCTGGAGGATGCCTACGGAGAACAGAGCTAAGAAGAGTGTCTCTCAACCTCCTCCAAGATTCCTGGGTCCAAAACAAAGCACACAAGTAACAGAGCTTCCCGGTCTGAAAGCAGGACTGCTAAAAATTTCTGTGATCAGAAGAACAGGGTGCTCAAACCTTAGGACCCAAATCCCTTGTGGAATTCAGGGATGGAAGTCCTCAGAGAGCCGTAGTGAGGAGTAACACTGACTTTCCAAACCACCTATAGAGTAGGGGCTCAGCAACAGATTTATTATTATTATTATTATTATTATTATTATTATTATTATTATTTATTTTATAGTTGTAGTTGGACACAATACCATTATTTTACTTATTTACTTTTATGTGGTGCTGAGGATCAAACTCAGGGCCTCATACGTACTAGAACACTCTACCACTGAGCCACAATCCCAGCCCAATAGATTTATTATTACTTAAAGAAAAACATTTAATGTGCTCATTCTTGTTGCTTGTGGACTGAGTTTATACCTGCTGGAGTGGGATCAGGATATATATAAAGTTTGGGGAAAAAAATAACAAAAAGAGGTACATATTTATACAATGAGTCAATCAGTCTATCTAGAGATGGGCAGAAAAAAGGAAGGGTTCAAACTAAGAGATCTTGGGGTACAAGGCAATTTATTTGGACTTAAGAGTTCGGGTTCCTGACCTACTCCAACAAAATATTATCTCCATAAATGATGGTAATAGTGGTTAATGGCTGGAAGATAGTGTTCTACCTCCCTACCTCATCCAGTCATGCCAGCACTTTCATTTGAAATCAGTCCTGTAGTCAGGCATGGTGGTGCACACCTAGGATCCTAGCAGCACGGGAGACAGAGGCAGGAGTTCAAAGCCAACCTCAACAACTTAGCAAGGCCCTAAGCAACTCAGCAAGACCCTGTCTTTAAATAAAATTTAAAAAAAAAGGAGTGGGGGCTGGAGATGTAGCTCAGTGGTTAAGCATCCCTGAGTTCAATCCCCAGTACCAAAAAAAAAAAAAATATTCCTGTAGTTCCCCTATTTGTCTTTTTAATTTATTTTTAATGTATTTATTTGTTCTAATCAGTTATACACAACAGCAGAATGTTTTTCGATTCACTGTACACAAATGAAGCACAATTTTTTACTTCTCTAGTTGTACCCAAAGTAGGGTCACACCATTTGTGCCATCATACCTGTACCTAGGATAATGATGTCTTGTCTGTCTCATTCCACCATCTTTCCTACCCCCATGCCCCTTCCCCCCTCCCCTTTGCTCATACAAAGTTCCTCCACTCATCTCTCCCCAACTCACCTGCCCCCCCCCACCCACCAATATAAATTAGCATCAACTTATCAGAGAAAACATTTGGCCTATGGAGTTTTGGGATTGACTTACTTTGCTTAGCATTAAAATATGGAACGCTTTACGAATTTGCATGTCTTCCTTGTGCAGGGGGGCCATGCTAATCTCTGTATCATTCTAATTTTAGTATATGTGCTGCAGAAGTAAGCACCCCCCTATTTATCTTACTCCCCTATTTATCTTAATATTTTAGTATTGTTTGTGGTTGTGTGTCTCTCTGGTTCATGCAGTCCTCCTATTTAAATAATAAACTTCATGAGACTAAGAGCTCTCTTTTTGGCTTCCTTTGGGTTGCCTGACAGTATCTAGAGACATTTTATTTTGTTCAGTTAATCCCAGGTCACAGTCATGACCAAGAAGTCTTTCTTTTCTTCCCTCCATAAATGTAAAAAAAAATAAATAAAAACCATGAGTCCCTTTATACTCCTGTTACAAAATGGGAAAACTGGTGTGAAATCTCTCGATTCCTCCATTAACACAGATTAAAGGTGTTAAGAAAACTTTTCTTGCAGGTAACTATATTCTAGAAAGACCAATGAGAGAAAATAAGAGATCTGGCTTTGAGACAGGTGAAAGAAACCAGAGAGGCAAATACTGAAGAAAAATGCATGAGAACATGATGGATTCAGTTTAGGATAATATTAGCTCTTGAAAGTACTCCCCACCCTTCTCCTACTCTCAAGCCAAATATGTGCCTGGAGTTCTGAATCGCTAAAGAAATAAAGCAAAATCGTGAAGCAAATATGAGATCAAAATGCCCCCATTATTTCAAACAAGGTTGATATTATAGAACATAGTGTCCACCTTCAGGCTGAGCCCCTGAATGAGACTGTGGCTGGTCCTCCCCACTCTGGGAGGACTGGTTACTCTTAGGCTCCCATGTAGTTGCAAGATCTTACCATGAGCAGGTCAAGAGCACAAGCTCTCCAAGAGCAGCTCACCAATGAGGGAGTTTCTCCTCTCCAAAGTGGAGAGGGAGCAGAGAGGTGAGAAGTGTGAAGCCAGAGGACAGGAACCCCATGAATGAACACATCTGAAGTGAAGAGTCACTCTTCTCCCCCTGGTGGATACACCAAGCACAAGATCACCAAGAAAACTAGAGCCCTCTGACAGGCAGATACCGAGAAAGATAGGGGATGTAAAGGAAGGAGATCAGGGCTGGGACACCACTTGGATATCATCAGTGTACACATAGTGGTAGAAACCGTGAGAGGAGATACAGTTTCTTAGAAAGAGGATGTGGAGTTTGAGGAAAGAGGAACTAGAAGTAGAACCCTTAGCAAGATGAGCCTTCAAGGGTATAAGCCAGGAAAGAAGGGGTGGAAGAGGCCAGGAGCTAGCAGAAAAAGGAGGGTGTCGTGAAAGCCAAGAAAATGAACCTGAGGCATGAAAACCAAGAAAAGAGTGAGCAATAATACAAATGCTGCTGGGTAGTCAAGTAAAATGAGATCATGTTCAGGACTTGGCCTCTGGGTAACCTTTGGGGCACTTTGGTCCTTCTGAAGAGTAGATCAAGAATATGGGAAGCCATGTTGTAGTAGATTGGAAGTTGAGAAAAATCTCTTCCCTGCCCTCAAGGAGAAAAGATTCCCCCTGGTGGCTTATTTATAATTAAACAGGCAATTACAAGTGGCACATGCCTGAAATCCCAGCTGCTCAGGAGGCTGAGGCAGGAGGATCATGAGTTCAAAGCCAGCCTCAGCAATGGTGAGGCACTAAGCAAGTCAGTGAGACCCTGTCTATAAATAAAATATAAAATAGGGCTGGGGATGTGGTTCAGTGGTCCAGTGCCCCTGAGTTCAATCCCTGGTACCCAAATAAAAAAACACAGTCTTTATCATGGATTCATGAAGATGCCCCCAGAAGTTCCAAAAAACATCATGTGCCTAACTGTACGCCTGGTGTATGTGCATATGTTTCCAGAAAGAGATGGACAGCTTTGACAGAATTCATTTGCTCTGTACAAAAAGACAAGACTGATTACTGAATGAGGTAGGGTAGATTCTATACCCTCACAAAAAAACAAGGTTAAGTCCTAGGCCATGGGGTCTAAGTGGGATAGGAAGAGAACTAAAACCAGGAAGGCGACGCTCCTGAAAGTGTTTAACCAGCTGATACCTGAGAGACACTTGAAGGACCAGGTGAGGAAAGCTTGATAGAAGAACAGGAGGAATGAAAGCAAGAGCCAGCCAGAAAAGTCAATCTGAATGTAAAATAGTAATTAATAGAGGTTGAAAAGGGGGTAGGGGAGGGTGGGTGAAGGGAGGTTGGATTTAGTCAATGAACATTTTTTTTAAATATCTATTTCTTAGTTGGACACAAAATCTTTATTTTATTTATTTATTTTTATGTGGTGCTGAGGATCGAGCCTAGGGCCTCGAATGTGCTAGTGAGCGCTCTACCACTGAGCCACAACCCCAGGCTCCAATGAACATTTTTTATATGCTTATTGAAATATCACACTGAGGGGCTGGAATCGTGGCTGGTTGGTAGAGTGCTTGCCTAGCACGTGTGAAGCACTGGGTTCAATCCTCAGCACCACATAAAAATAAATAAATATAGGTATTGTGTCCACCTAATATATATATATATATATATATATATATATATATATATATATATATAAAAAAAACTCAACGAACCTCATTTATATGTATAATTAATATAAAACATAATAATTTAAAATCTTTTTTAAGGCATGAGAGAGCCAGTAGGTCAGAACTACCATCCATTCACAGGGCACATAATTGACCAGTGCCTGCTTCATTCAGGCCACAAGGTTAATTCTTGAGACAGCCTCCTTCTCCAAGAGTTTGTGTTCAGAAAGTGAGATGCTGAAACTTGAGGATTCATAGATGCAAACAGAGTCTCATGTTCACAACTGCAGGTTTGGGGGGGGGGCAAGGAAGGAAGGGAGGAAGGGAGGGAGGGAGGAAAACCATGCATGGTGATTGAACCCACCAAGCTGCCAAGGTTGATCTCCTGTCCACTCATTTGAGTCATCAGGGGAAGCAGAAAACATCAGGATGACAATAAAGAGAGAGAGAGAGAGAGAGAGAATTAACATGTTAAAAACTTTGCATTTCAACTTTGAGCTGACATTGCAGCGAGACTCTTTCCAGCTGCTTTGTCTGGCCATGTCAAGAAGTGACCATGATTTATTGTGCCACCTCCGTAATTTCAATGCTCTTGATCTCCCACTGGAAGCAGTGACAAGCAAGGTTAACTGCTGTGTGAGGAGACAGTATGAGTAATGCCTCGCACACGGAGCTGGCACTGATCTACAGCATGAGCCGGGGACACAGGGATGTAACCATTGGTTAAATTCCTTTCAAATGGCCACCTCCCAGATGCCCTAACACCTTTTGGGACAGCCGGGGTTTGTGTGGAAAAATACCCTGAATTGTGTTAGAAACTATTTCCTTGTCCTTGTTCCCTCACAAACAATGTGGCTCACATTTGCATTTTGGATTGTTAGCAATAGCTAATGTTAAGTGGCCACACCACGCCAGGTCCTGTCGACATGTTTTATGTTTTTTCGTTCAGTTAATCTTCCGCTGGCCCTCCCCAGTGGTCATTCCCATTTATAGAGGAGAAGAATGAGACACAGGCGATTGAATAACTCAACCAGGAGGGCAAAACAAAACCAGGATTTGAGCCAGGTGGTCTGACCACGGGAGGACCCAGCTATGTTATCTCTCTATTACATTCTTATTCATTTAAGACAATCCATTCATTCTAACTTATTTTTTTTTCCTTTAACCAGCTTGGCTTATGTATATATTTCAAAGGCCTTTAGTGAGTAAATTGGAATGTGTAAAACAAGTTCTTTTATCTTCCAAAACCACAGTTTGTCTTAATAAAAGGGGTTTCAATTAGAGGGTTTTTGTATCAGCAAGTGTCCTATGAAGGCACTATTTCTTATGCTTATGTCTTTTCCTCCAAATTCAGGGAAAAGAGAAAGGAAAAACTAACATAGAGTGAATATCTGCTTCCTTCTGATTATTGTGTGGGTGCAGAAAACTTGACAATGGCCCCATGAGGTAGATATCCCTTCCTATCATTTAGATAGAGGGTCAGGAAAGTTAAGGACATTTTTCCAAGTTTAACTCTGTGAAAGACAGACATGGCTGAAAGGCCTTGGCAATTCCACTTAACCAGGAGTGGACACCTACGTATCTTTCTTAGTAAATTCTGGTGCCTTCTTATCCGGTCAACCCTCCATGGGTTCTGCATCCACAGATTCAACAAACCACTGATTGAAAATACTTAAAAAAATAAAAAAAATAAATAAAACTTGGGTCTGTATTGAACATGTACAGACCTTTTTTCCTTGTCATTATTCCCTGAACAAGAGAGAATAACACCTATTTCCACAGCAATGACATTGTATCCGTTATTATTAGTAACCTAGAGATGATCTAAAGGACACAAGAGAGTGTGCTTAAGTTGTATACAAATATTCCAGCATTTTCTATAAGAGACTTATGCATCTGTGGATTTCAGTATGCAAGGGCAATCCTGGAATCAATGCCCAGTGGATACCGAGGGCATTTGAATTTTACCTACAAATGAGGAAAAATTGGAAGAAAACGAGAAAAACAGGTGATAGTTGGCTTCAGAGCTTTCATATCCCTGAAACAACACAGAAATGGCTTCTTCCTTGTCCAGATTTCCGCAAGGTCTGTCCTAAGTCTTATCAGAGAATTTAGATGACAGTTGTCTGGGCGACAACCTTGAGATGCTACACTCAAAGTTTTCTTCTCTGGCAAAAAGCCAAACTCCCTCCCACGTCTGGCACACGCACAGCACCTGTGTGAGGTCTTCTGCTTTCCAAAGCACCTGAGAACAGGTCAAGGATGTGTCGTTATTGGGATTTTGTCCCCCACAGTGACTCGGCTGACAGAGATTGGGTTCCTGGAGAAGGAGGTAAGGGGCCTACCCTGCTCTCTTCACACAAATATCACCTTCATGGTAGCTTCCCAGCTCTTTCACTAAAGAGTTCTTGAAAGTCAATTCAAATATCACTTCAAACTCTTTTTCGCTTAGAGAAAAAAAAAAAAGCTGTTGTTTTTGTCTAATGGAAGTACTGTGCTGTGACTGGATTTGTAACAACAGTGTGTCAAAATGCCAAAAAAGTGTGTCAAAAAT